CGCCAACAACTTCCTCACCCTCGACGACTGCGAGAAGAGCTGCTGGACCATCAAGAGTGAGTCCGGGGACCGGCCCCGCCGCCCTCCCCGGTTCTGGGAGCCTACCCGACGGAGCCCAGCTCCCCGGAGTGCCCCCGGGGTGGCAGGGGGCTGGAGGGGTTCTGTGGGAGCACCGGGGAGGCTGCGCCCCTTGCGGGATGCTTCGCACCCACCCCATCTGTTCCTCCTGCTTGTTGCAGCTTCTCGCTGATGTCGATTTTAGGCAGAGAAACTGGAGCGAGTGGTCTCAGAGGCGATGTGCAGAATTCAACTGTTAATATTTTAAAAGTAATTTAATATTATACCTGGTTGCTAATTGATACATCAGATTCCTCCTGTAAATCTTATCCCACTTTATTAAAGAATGCAGGCAGTGGGACAAGCTGGGACTTACCTGTGACCGGAGTAATAGAGTTTTGTCTACATTGCCATGTTGCTCAGTACAGGGAGCACGAAGGGTTGATTTTACAGAGGATGAAATTATTTTTTTTTTGCAGAAGTGCCCAAGTTATGCCGGATGGAGGCTGATGGAGGACCTTGCAGGAGTCATCTAAAAAGATACGCCTTTAACTTGAGCTCGATGAGGTGTGAGGAGTTCATCTATGGTGGCTGTTACGGAAATGGCAACAACTTCAGAGATTTGCAGTCTTGTGTGGACCACTGTCTGCCAGAGAAAAGTAATGGTTGTTCCAAATTTTTAATAAAATAGATGGTTTGAAAGCGATATGAAGATGATATTTTATTTGATATTTTCCTCTGGTTACCCATACAGTGGTATTTTTGAAGACTTCTGTGAAGCAGATGTTTATATTGTCTGCAGATTTTCATGTGTCCTTTATCTCAGCTGTTACTGAAAGAGCAAAAATGCTGTGTTAGTTTTAATATTGTGGTCTTAAATGTGCCCACAGCTACACCCAACTGATCACTTGACTTCTAGAGAGCTGTACATGTGTAATCTGAAGGGAAATAAGGTTGGACATCTGTGTTGAGGCAGATGTATGAGGCGTTGTGGCAGTCACATTCAGGGCAGTGATATTGTAATATAAGGCAGAAGTACCTTTCTAAAATTCAAACCTGAGAGATGGTGTTAGGTGGCTTGTGTTTTTGGCACTCAACAGCTCAAGTTCTGAGAAAAGGTTGTTGCCTGACATGACTCTTCGTTGTCTCTCTGTACGAGCTTTAAAGAAGAGAGGTGGTAATTATGAGCAGGTGACTATAGTTAAGTGTTGTCATAAACACTAGGTTAATATCCAGTGCAAGACAGGATCTTTGAAGAAGAGAGAACTACCAAAATGTATAAAAGTTGTCATTGCCTAAGTTTTATTAGTGCTTTATAAGACAGTTATTTTTGGCTGATGACAGATTGTGAGCATTTTCTTAGGTGAATACTGAACTATTTTTAATTCCTCTGTTGCACATCCAATAAATGGATAAAAGGTCTCCAGCAAGAAAAGTTAAAATTTTATTGAGGCAAAATAAAACACGATTCTTGTGAGGGAAGTGGTGGGGTTTGCATTTTTTTGCAGCAAGCGGGCAGGATTTGCTGGCAAAATCATAGCAAGGGTAAATGAAATAGTGCCTTTTCAGTCTACAGAGGTAGTTCCACTGGAATAATTGTTATATTTCTATATATATGGAATAAGACTTTTATCCAGACTATGTAAATGTCTCAACTGTCATATGTATGGCACCATAAATGGGAAAAGCTGATGAATTTCACTTTGGGGATAGTAATCCTATTTTCTGGGACTGTCTGTTGCTTTCTCAAATTCAAAACTCGCAGGAATATGATTTAGTAAGTCCCTGAAGACATTAGTAACAGTCTTGTCAATTCAATGGGAACAAGAGCTATTTGGCCACAAAACTGACTGCAGGGTAAATTTGAAGAAGCCAGGCATAGAGATTACATTTATGTAATTTGTCTTTCTCTCTTTCTTTTTTTTTTGTTGTTGTTGTTTTTCTTCTTCTTTTGCAAGCTGGTCCCTTGCTGTGCTATAGCCCAAAGGATGAAGGATTGTGTTCTTCTTCTGTGCCACGCTATTACTATGACAGCAAGACTAAGTCATGTAAGGAGTTCAAATATACTGGCTGTGGTGGAAACGCCAATAACTTTGTTACTGAAACAGATTGCTACAATGTCTGCAGAAGTGGTAAGATATTTTGTATTTTGTCAGTCACAAGCAGGTAAAGCAATCCAAATACCAGTAACAGGTGTTCAAAGTGTGCATTTACTCGCCTTAGCTTGCTACAAGTGTACGCTCTTTGCATTTTGGACTGGATGTTTTCAAAGGCAGGGAAAACTGAGATGCAACACTAAATCCTTCTGACAAGAACAGTGCGATGCACGGTGGTTATGCTATTTTTGAATGAAGTGTAGAGATGGGCACACAAAAAAGACCTAATGACTTGCTAGAGCCCACAAGCACTCAGTCTTTAAACTATTCAGTACCAGCATGAACACTAATTAAGGTATAATTTTCTGCTAGATATTTTTAAGTAGGATCAAAGTGAGTTGTGAAATGAATTTACTTTTTTCCTTCGCATTTTCAAAAATTACCATCCTTCCTTGATTCCCTGCTGCCTGTTCCCATTTCCCATTCCCATTCCTAAAGACTTCTGCCTCATCAGTTGTGCTGAGTCAACTGTTTCTGTGGCCGAGGGGGCAGGGATTGGGAATGATAATTGCTTTTTCTTAACAATTTTGTTCGATTCAGCTACTGGCTGTGCTTGTAAGTCAAAAGAGTTGTGCTTTTACCTGCAGTCATACATTCCTACCAGCTATTACAAGTTTTAATACTCTAGTTTAATTCATTCGATATGTAAATCAAAGAGAGAAAAGCATAATTATATGTTGATCCCCAGAGCACTCAGGAAGCAGACACAGTACAATATTTAAAAAATTGATACTAATCGGAAAAAAATTTAAGACTGTATCTAGCATGTACATTGTCTTTGGGAAAAAAAAAAAGGCAAAAAGTAGCTGTTTTAAACATGACATATGCACAATATCCAAGTACTTCAGTATTTAAGATGTGTCGTCAGAAGTCTTAAGTCAGGAGATGAGTCCTCAGTTCTGGGCTAGAAATCCAGGGCAGGGGCAAGGATTGCACTCTGAGTACAGTCTGAGTACAGTCCTCAGAAATCAGATACTGTCTGCCAGTTAGTCATGACAGTAGTATTTTCGTGGGTGACAAGTCTGAGTGTGTTGCTGCCATCCTAGCATCATAAGAGAGTTTTTAATAGCATGCTAAGTCTATCTGAGATGCTTGTGATGATTATCTAATTTGCATCTATTACTACCTGGGAAATGGTAGGGCCAGGCTCCAGCCTAAGTGTGCAAAGAGAGAGGAGGAAGGAAACTGCCTCTTCAGCATCTCGCCTCCGCGCTCTGCCCCTGCCCACACCCAGACAGATCCACCTGGGGGTTCTGCCTTCCTCACTCATTTCGTGGAAGAAAGAAGTAAGGAAATGCTGTCTGTCTTGTAACTAGAGAACCAGATAGCATAACTTAAAGGATTCGTTATAACCTGTTTCAGCAACTTGTGGATTTCAAAATTCAGTAAGGTTTGGTACAACCATAGTTAAGGGCATAATTAGTGCTAATTAATGTTGTGCTATAATATATTCATTTCTATGGCTTGGGAGTGTACAGTGACATTAAACAAATCTTTCAGGCAACTTAAGCCACTCCTTCTCTCCTGGTCCCATAACTCCCCAGCATCTTTCCTGTTACCTTTTGGAGACTCAGGCTGAATTCTATTGACCTTTCCTGTGCAAACACACAACTGCTGTTTAAATTGATCTGTAGCTTTTGGAGTGAAAAGGTTTCTGATTTATTTCATTAAAAAAGGTTTATGTTGGAAAAGAAAATAAATATGTTGGGGTGACAGCAAAAGAATTGGGAACTTGCCACAGGGCCTCTGCGTGCTGGTAAATAGGTAGCATAAAGACAAAGATTTTCAGTCAAAGTTGCAAAGTACTTGTTTCCTGAACTGCACTCACACATTTCATGCAGCCTTCGTAAGCATTTCTGGAGATAACCCCAACTGTCTTTGGCCACTCTGCAGCTTCTGTGGGAAACCCTGTTCTGTGCAGAAATCCAGATCATTTTACCTTTTCATCTCCCACAAGCACTGGTTATATTTTAGACTTTTCTCCACTGTTGTTCAGAGAAATGCAGTAATAGTTCTTTTTGTTTTTGCAGATAGAGCAGTGTGTTTATTTCTATTTGGCTGTCACTGCAGGACAGTTAGAAAAGACTTTGATGCTTGCTCAGGAAAAAAAGCACCAAAGTGGGACTCCAGTGTGAACAGTGGAAACATTGGAGACCTTGCAGTGTGTGAGAACAGAGTGTCCAGAACACATTTTACAGTTTCTGATATGCTTGTTATTATTGGTTCGACTGCTTAAACAGCATAACAGGAAAAAAAAACCAAAACAATAAAAAGTAGTAACAGTTTTGTCATACTGTTTCCCTAACTGCTTCCTTTGTTTTCTTAGCAGGGACTCAGAAACCAGGAATCAACAAACCAACAAATGTATTTCGCAGAAAAATGATGAGAAAACTGATTAAAAAACCTTGGACCTATAACCCAAAGACTTAAAGCTGATGTGCACTTGGATGTTAGAAACACCTTTTTGGTTCCACTTTTTTCTTTTGTAAGATAGTTTCTATACCATTTTATACATCAACATAGTTCTGTGTTTCAGAACTGCTTTTTATTTCCAACTAACTTTTTATAAAGAACTGCATTTAATAGAAGAAGAATGAACCTAAGTTTGGTTCTTCTGCTCTGTTGTCTTTGCAGTAATACTTTGGCAAAGCCAGGTGTATAGATTTCCATGTTTTATGGGGGAACGTTACTACTGCCTTGGGAGAATATTTCAACTGTTACAAATCAATTAAGATTTGAAAAATCAATTGTCCCTTAGTATAACTGAGGAGAGTACAAAGCTAAATCTCTACCATGGATTCTTTTGGCATCCTCTGCTTGCTAAAGAAAATGAGTCTTTCAAAAGTGTATCCAGAGGTTTATTGCCCTGCCATTTTACATGTTTTGGCACTATCATTTAAGTAGACTGTCCTTTATGGTTACGTTCATAGTCAAGGCTTTCAGAAGCCTTTGTAACAGTTAAAGAAGTATCAACTTAAATCTGGCTCATCCTGCAAGACAAGATTGGGAACAGGGATACTTTGATAAACACTCTGACAAAGGCAATGAATAAGCTACTTGAATATTAAAATGAAAATGTAGCCATTACTTTTTCATGACATTTGAAATTTCTGCTAAGTTACGCTCCAGATCCTCATATGGCATAAATCAGCATATTTTTATTGATTTTAATGCAGCTATGCTGATTCCGTTTGCTGAGGATCGTGATATTTGTGTTTATGCGGTGGCTGTTAAAACAGAAATGCAGAAGCTTCTGCAAATCTCATGTAATCCCTCTTTTGAGGCACTATTGTATTTCTTATGGTAGATTATGCCTATGGTGATATTATTGCACCTTCTTTTATGTATTGTATTTGAGCCATGTCTGAATTTCAATGAATTTCACCTACAATATTTTCTAAATCTGGATTCATAAGTAATGTTAATAAAATGTTTTTGGGGAAAAAAGGAGAGCTTGTTCTGTCATTACTGTGAATTAGTTGTATACACTAATATGTGTAATGGAACCTATTATTTACTAATTATGACTCTAACAGAGTTTAGTTGTCTCTTAAGTAATTTCCTTATGCTGAGGTCTTTATTTGAAGAAAGCCAGTAAATTGCATTGATGTCATTCATCCCCAGCAGTTTTTGTGGCTCAGCTGACTCTCCCTAAAGAGCTGCTCTCAAAGGGGTGCTTAGTTAAACTGATTGTCTACTGCTGGGTCTCCTGTTTGAAGTTGCACTGTCTGAAGAGCTTTTGTGTTGGTAGCAGGCTATTTGCTTGAAATGACATTGGCTTTCAGTTAGAAAATTTCAGGTGTGTGTTTTATCCCCATTTCAGAGGGGGAACATGATGGGGAAACTAGTCATGCTTTGTTTTTCTTACTGATTTTGCTCTCACTGCTGGATTTTCAATTAAAGCAGTCAGCTGTGCTTTCCCCAGTCTTTCTACCACTCCATTTCTGGTTCTTGATCTCAAATAACCTTCTTCAATTAATCTATTGCTTAGTGCAGATGAATGAGCACACTCTGTGAAAGAAAATTGCAGGTAACCAGTGATGCAGTTTTGAGTGTTTGTCCCATACCAAACCTCTTCTCTGGTAACCAGGCTTCAAACAGAAACAGAGCCAGTCTAACCTTCCTGGGGGAGACAGGGCGAGCTACCCATGGATGCTGCCTGTGTCCCTTCCCTCGGGCTGTGAATTTTGGCCGTGCTGCTTAGAGCAGCAGCCCAGAGCATCCCTCTGAATATTTTTTCATATCTAACACTATCATTTTGGGGGACCCCAGCTGCATTTGTTGCAGATTTCTGGCCATGGCTTAAAAACCCACAAGCCCATTTCGGAAGTCAAAGTTCAATTTAAACACTGTTTTTAACTGTAGAGCATAGCTGTCTTTTAACAGCATCACTGTGGGGTATAATTTCTGGTGACATGTTCGAAAAATGGACTATTACTCCTTACCTCTCTGAGTCTTTGACTTTTATAGGAGTATCTTGGGGTGGGGTACAAAAGTGGATCTGGGATTTAAAGGGAGCCCAAAATCTGAGAGTAGCTCCATCTCACTTTTTGGTCTCGGAATTGGGTGCTTGATCACACATCATGAGATATCTTGGGCAATGTGATACCCAGTTAGTGTCCTGGAAGGGATTCTAGAGTTCGATAATCCTCTGCTCATGCCCCCTCAGGGGTTCAGCAAGAGCTGTCTTGGTGGACCGGTCTCCATCCAGGACGCTGCAGTGGCCACTGCAGTCTTTTACAATGCAGCTGCTCCATATGCTCTTTCTTTTCCTATATAAAAACATAATTCAAAGTGCAAGGGCTTACTGCTAGGGTACTCAGTGAAATATCAGAGCCTTGGATTTTAGTCTCTTAGCTGCCTGATACCACACAGAAATTTAACCTAAACCATCCATAATTCTTGCAGGGTTTCCTAGTGAGCAGGCTGTAGAGTGTACTGGAGGATCAGGGAGAGGGAAGAGGAAGCAGGGGAGGGGCATGGAAGTGTCTTTCAGTCCCTTAGTGAATCTATTCTACTTTGTATAAATTGTACCATCTTTCCAGGTAAATGCCTGTATCTCCTTTTTTTTTTTTTTTTTTACAAAGAATTTCAGCTGCCACTGTGCTGCTTTGCTTCATGTTCGTAAGTAACTCTAATATCCCTCCAGACTCCTGTGGCTTTGATTAATCTAAATAATTATCTATCATTTACAGCATTTTATATGACTCATGACTTACTTCCTTTTCCAGTTTGCTGATGAAACAACACTGGCCCAAGGTTGGGTCAACTGTTAGCATTTTGCCACGCTGAAAATTAACACAGCCCATACCATCCTGCAAATTAACTTTTATTATAGTAGCCAGTGTCCAGCAGCTGATATTGTGTGTCACAGAGCAAATTCTACTGCAGAGGAGGGAAGCTGTGATTATAATCAGTTGGGTTCATCTTGTCTTGCATAGGCAAAGTGTCACTGAAACTCATGACCAGTGATTTGCATGGGACAGTCATATCTGCCACTGAACAGTGTTTGCTGAAATAAGCAGATTTGACTAAACTCCATTGCAAACAACATCACTGTTATTTAACTTTCCATTGCAACCCACAATACCAGTTCTTTTTTTGGTGATAGCTTGTGAAGAACTATGACAAAACTCCACAAAAATTAAAATCTGCACTGATTTTTCATCTGTAGTCTGTGGCAACACTCAGGGAATCGCTTTGTAAAGCATTTCAAGAGTAGGAGAATGGCTTTATCTTTATATTTCAGTGGAATCCTAACTGTCAAAAAGAGAGAACAACAAAAAATCCATATGGAAACACATAATCTTTTTTATTGATAAGCTAAATGATAGCAAGCAAAATTTCACCACATCTCATTTTAACAATGACTAGTCCCAATAAATTCCTTTCTCACAATTCCATACTTCAGGAGCAAAATGGCGATGAGTTCGGCTTGTATGCCTGGAGTCAGACTTCTGACTCTCAGAAGTGTCTCTGTTCCTCTATTGCTTCTTGCCAGCTGAGGAGGTCGAAAACACAGAATATTTATTTTTTTAAAAATAATTTATTAGACACAATGGGCCAGATTAAAAAAAAAAATAATTAAAAATCACTGAATTTGTGTCTCAGGCCACAGGTGAAAGATTTTGTCCCTAAGCTTGAAGTCAGCTGTACTGCTGAGGGCAGCTGTTCTGGATCCTGACAGTGACAGGAAACCTGTCCTAGGAGATAGACGCAGTCCAGCTATGGTTATGTGAATCTGGAAGAACCACATTGCGGATGTGCCAGAGTTGTTATGCATTTACATTAGTGTTACTGAAAGCAAAATCTGCCTCATTATCTTTCTAGAAAGCTTTTTATTGTTATGCATAACTATCACTGGTGATAATTAGCACAGAGATACTTGTTTCTGTTGAAGTGAGCCTAATTTTTCAGTGTATGGTGGTCCTGTGTATTAATGTCTATCATCTGATAAATTACTTAATTGCTGAGGGGAAGGGGTGTTAATCATAGTATATAAAACCTAATGAACAGCAATGATATTGAAAAAAACCTAAGTAAACAAGATGCATAAAAAGCATGCTGTTTGAAGTATTAGCAACTGTGTGATCATGAGCTGTGATTTCCAAATAAATGCCAGAGAAATGATCTTTCCCAGCTCATGTCTGAACTATTCATAATAGAGATAGTTCAGGAAAGTTAAAGACTAATTTATGAAATGTAAAACATTGTATCTATTATGCGGGAATAAAACAAGTCCCTTTTAATGAAGATTCCCTTTGTACTGGCAGTGTGGAGCATAATTTCAGATGAATATGGACAAAATGGATACTCTTCCAGACACATCTGGTTAGATGCCTAACTGCTTTTGTGTGAAGGGTTTTAAAAGCAATTTCAACTCAAAGTACGTCACATTTTGTCTCATTTGATGGGGCCAAACTTCAAGCTGGTGAGCATTCAGTAATATTAAGTTTTATTTTTTTCTCATGCTAGAGTCTCATTAAAGGCCTTAATGTATTAACTATAGGTTAAACTCTTTTATATATCTGCCAGGTGAATGACAATGTTTTTGATCAGTGAGCTTCCTTGGAGGTAAGGTACTACTCACTTAGCAAATGTGCAGCATCTTTTCTAAAAGGGCAATGCATGTTTACATTTTTTAAAGCCTAGTATGAAATGCAGTAATAAAACTCATAGTAACTATTAAATGCATATGAACACTATTCTTTATGGGATATTTTTCTCCGTGTGTGGGAAGCAAGATAGAGGATAGATTATACTAATAAAAGCTATTTAAAGAGTCAAGAGAGTAAAGGGTGAAAAATATACCTCATTATCAAACTAGAGAAAAGCTTTGCAGCATCACAGTAGTTTTCAACAAGGAGAAATCTGGAGTTATACTGAAAAAAGAATACTTTATAAAAATGCTTCCAGTAGAAAGTAGCGAG